CTTTGCTCGTACGTACTGTCGGGCAATTCGTTGTCCTTTGGAAGCATCTTCTTTAACATTATTAGCAACTTTTCAAATCCATTGTCAGATACACCATTCTCTTCCTTCCATTGCAGCAATTCCAGTATGGTGCCCAACTTTTTCTTATCAGCGTCACAATTTGGGTAAAACAATTTCTTGTGATCCTCTAACATGCGCTGCAACATCAGCCTCTCCTTTTCACTTGCGCAGTTTCTCTTTGCATCAACAACGGCCCGACCAAGATCATCCCGGGCTCATCTGATGCCTCTTCTTCAGCTTCTTTCCGCATTGCCTGCTCAGCTTCTTTCCCGATTGTTGTACCATCGTATTCAGGGAACCCATGGCCAGGATGGCTGTCGCCATCCTCTTCTTCTTCATTCTCTTCCATTAGGACCCCTCTTTCTCCGTGCTTGGTCCAAACATGATAGTGGGGCATGAAACCAGACGCAAACAGGTGGACATGAATGGTTCTTGAGTTAAAGTAATTTCGATCATTCTTAGAGTCAGCACATGGACAACACATAAAACTATCCGCCCACTTATTTGCCTCAGCAGTAAGCAGAAAAGTATGCACGCCCTTAATGAACTGGGGAGAACATTGGTCATCGTACATACATTGCCGGCTCATCTTCATTACACAACACCAAAAAGACCAAATTAATATAAGTTTATACATAAAGTTCATACACACTTATTCTAACAACAACAAACTCTCTAGTTAAGCCATTTAAATGCAACAACAAATGCGATCAAGATCGCAGTTAAGGTAACAATTGATCCAACAACATAATGATACCAAGCCTCACTATCAATGGAGTATTTACTAATATTTCTAATCTTCAAGCGCATTGCATCCATCTTGATCTGATGATCATCGACGACATCGGCAACATTCAACTACACTTCCATCTTCTTCTCCTCAATTTTTTTCAATTTTTTCTTCAATTAATTATTTTCTTTTTCAACTAAATTTAACCTCTCAACAAGAGGTTCGGTCGGAATTTCCGGTTCACATGCCTTCTAAATAAAAATATCCATGTCAACTTGATGGGCACAATTTGTCATTAATATGAAATGCAACAAATACTTATAAAAAAGAATATACCACTTCCGAATTATAAACCGAATGAAGGCCGACGGGGACGGATATCAAAACCATGTCACTATGTATAACAAACAACATACGAATAAACAATTATACAAGTAATTATATATCTAAATCACACAAACATGATTTTTTTTATAAAAAAAAGATAAGAACAAGAGGCTCACCAAGTTGGTGCCGGCGACAGGACGATGCGGGCGATCGATGGTGGTTAGGACGGGGACGAGAAGACACTAGGTAAACCCCACCTACATATACAGACTAAGAGTTAATTTGAGCTCAGATTGCATATAAATCAAATAAACTACCATATATAATTACGCACAAACTAAAACCCACAAATCACTATACTTATAGAGATTTGCAAGAGCTAATCTAGCAAATGAGAGATAAAAGGGCAAAGTTACTAACCTTTGTGATCACTTGGGTGGATGGGGGACCTTCAAATCTTGACAAATTTTAGGCAAAATGAAGGATGAGTTCAAGCTTTGCGGAAGAACAAAGAGGAGAGGAAAGAGGAAGAACAGGGAGCTCGATCGCGGGCTGGATGAAGGGTTTATATTGAAAAATCTTTAATCCCGGTTAATGACACAAATCGTGACTAAATGTGAGGGCCTAAAGGGACTGGTAGGGCCCCAGACTGACACTAGCCTGCCACCATCTTTTTAGTCC